CCCCCTGCCCTCGGTGATGCTGCCCCTGGCATTGCTGCTGCTGCTGCGGGGGGCCTGGAGCTGAGTCGGGGTGGAGAACCCAGGGGTCCAGACTGGGAGCTGCTGGAGCCCATTTGACTGCCAGGGGGAGCCAGGTGTCAGGACACTCAGAACCCAGCTATCTGAGCTCCAAATCACATGAGCACAATCAACTCCAGGGAACACAGGTGTCCCTTCAGACACACACACACACACACACACACACACACACACAACCCCCCCTCCCCCCAAGTGCCCCAGTCCCTCCCCCTCTCTCAAAGGGCCAAACCCTCCTGAGTGGCCACTAGGGGGAGCACCCACCTCAACCTCCAAATAATGCCCCCCCTCACCTCCATCTTGCACACAGGACCGAGAGAGTCTTTGAAATACCCCCTGGAAGGGGCAATTCTGATTTCCTGCCCCCTTAATCACCCATCCCCTAATGACCCATGTGTCCAAATGAGGAAAAGACATCGACCCCTTTCCCCTGCTATTGAACCCCTGTGGCCATCATGGGGGAGGGAGTGCAGCAGCAGGGGGTGTCCAGCAGGGGGTGGGGGGGCATGCCCTTGGAGGACCTCTTCCTGCCTCTGCAGGTCCCCCTTTTGCTAGGAGCCCCTGTTGTTGGCACTGTAGTGCACATCCCCTTTGGGACCCCTTGCAAGCAGCAGAGGGGATTATGGCTGGGGGGATCTCTGAGAATCTGGTGCATCTCTAGGCCCAGGTCCATGCTAGGGCAATGGGACACCTGATTGGTGGGGATCAGGATCAAGGTCTGCCAACCGCAAACCTGGTGCTAGGCACTAGACATACCTCTCAGACCCAGTGCCTTCCCCTGGTGCCAGGCTCTGGACATAGCCCATCATGCCTACTACATGTCCATGAATTAATTAATTACCTGCACCCACGGAATGAGTTGGATTCTGCGGGGAAACGATCATTCCTAGAAATTCGAAAGAAATATTGTTGGTCCTCGGTAGGCAGCTGGGAGAAAGGAAGTCTTGTGGTGCTCTGAATAAATGTGTCAGGCTGTCAATCAATCGATCTTCAATCCATCGATTAACCAAGAGTCTGACGTTTGTTGCAAAAGTCGCAATGTACTTGATGGACGGCTTATTTCTAGTGAACAGATCTTGGCAATTAATATATCATTACCATCATTGCTACTGTTGCTGCTGTTTTATTGCCATCATCACTATTATTGTTATTAGCATAGTAATAACAACAAAAGAACAATAATTCTAACAATAAAACCACCACAATAATTACTATAATAATAATAATAATAATAGACAATACTAATAAATGCAATACAAATATAATTCTTAACCCAGAGACTGTTGTAATCATTACATTTCATTGTTATTAGGAGTAATCAACAGGCTGCCACGTGACCAGAGCCTGGCTACCATGGTGCCAAGGTGACAGTCAAAGATGGCTGCAGCAGGCCCAGCTCTGGAGCACTTAGTAGGCTGAGACTGATTTGGCATCCATGACACGGGCACCATGGATCCAGACTCAGAACGAGCTGGGTAGCACGAGGCCCAGATGGTGGCCCAAAATGGGTGCTGTGTGCTTAAATCCAGGACAACCTGCCGGGCACGAGGCAAATATGGCTCCTCGTCCAAGTGCCAGGCCAAGGTCCTGGTCCGACTTGTCGGGTGCCCTGACTTGCGTACTGAATGCCAGCCCAGCTCACCCAGGGCCTGCTGCTGGTGCGAAAGCTTCCCCAGGGGCCTCCACGAGGCACTTGTCATCCTCCTTGGTTTCCCGGCCAAGGCCATGGTAGACCGTCGTGGCCTTCCTGGTGCATAGCAGACCAAGGAAACCCAGCGTGCCAGCCCCATCCCTTCCATTCACCTTAGCTGCCACTTCGAATGGTGCATGGCAGATACCCAACTCCTGTTGTTCCCGACTATCGGGTGCAGGGTTGAACATGAATGAGCCTTTGACCAGAACATGGGGCTTGTGCATTTCCCCTTCCTGCGGGGGTACGCCAGCTGCAGCCCAATGCCCCCCAGACCCTGCGTCATCTCCCGTCCCCTTTATACCCAGGCTGACAGCCCCAGAGCCAGCTGCAGCTTCCATCCCTGTTACACTGAGCCTGATGCCCCTCAGAGCCAGCTGCAGCTCCTATCCCCATTACACCCAGCTTGATGCCCTATACAGTGGCACAAGTTGAGGACTCAAATTTGAAAGGCAGGAATAATATTCAGGGAGAGCAGTCCTAAAAAGGAGGTACAGAATAAGGGTGACAGAGGAGAACCGATACAGGTTGTTACATTTAGTAACAACGAACCACCTTTTTTGGAAGTTTGGCACTCCTCAGCACAAGACAGGAGTCAGAGAAAGAGGTGTACGTAGGGCTCAAGGACCCGGAGGTAGGAAGGAGTACGGAATCCGCAGACAGGGGCAGAATAAGGGAAGTCGTGATTCCCTCTGGACAGAGGTCTGGAAGAGCCTGATGTCTATGGGGGAAGACAGAGCCAAGTGCAATGGGGCTCCCACTAATGCACTGGTGAAGAGACTGATACAGCTCATTGCGACAGAAGAGCTAGCAGGAGCAGAGCCAGACCCATGTTGGTCAGTTCAGCCTTCAGCGCCTCTGGACCCACAATAGAGATGCCCCGCTCCCCAAGCACTGAGGGGGCTAGTAGGACAAGTCTGCTTCGCCGACTGGGGGTGCCCAACCACTCAAGTTTTAGTGGAAAACAAGGGGAATGTGAAAAACTCCCAAATGCTGATTGATACTGGAGCCTCAATCAGTGTTTTGCAGCAGCAGTGGGGTTTTAATGGATCCCAATTTTCTGCAACTACAGTCCTATACTGGAGAGTTAGAGGACTTGCCAGTAACCCAACCTGTTGCAACTCAAATAGAAAAGTGAAAGTTTGGGGAGAAATATGGAATACAGCAGAACGAGCCAGGAGGAGACGGTGAGAATGGACTGGTAGGGATGATGGCTTTGCAGCAGGGAAGAACACTGTTGGATTTAGCTAACGGGTGTCTGTGGAAACGGCCAGTAGAAGAAAAGACTGTTGATTTCTGCAGTGCACCGTTGTGAAGCTATCAAAGCTCCTGCTGTCACTGATGAAGTTGATCAGGACGACTGGACGCGGGCATTCCCTACGGTTTGGGCAAAGGATCAGTTAGAATGTGGCAAGATACAGGCTTGTCTTCAGGGACCAGACCCCTCGCCCCCACCTCCGCGGGGCAGGGAGAGCCTCTGTGCAGCGCTGCCCGGCCCAGCACAGCTGGGCTGCTGGGAGCAGCTGTAATTGAGCCGCAACCCCCCGGGGGTGGTCTGCATGGTGGGTCTGGGCCAGGCAGTGGGCGCAGGGCCACTCCTGATGGGCGCAGCTCAGTGATGGGGACCCGAGCGGAGCAAGCACAGCCAGGCAACTCACCCTGTCAGTGAGCGCAGCCTGGTGTGTGCGACTAGTAGCTGGCCGGGCAGTGGCTTATCCAGGCCCACTCAGAGGCGCTGTGGGGGTTCGTGGGGCTTCAACAAACCTCCATGGTGGATGGCTGCCAGGATCTGGGCCCATGGTGCCTCTGAGCAGGCTGGGTAAGCCGCTGCCTGGCCAGCTGCTGGCTGCACCTGCTCACAGGGTGAGCTGCCCAGCCGCACGTGCTCCGCTTGGGTTCCCATCACAGCTGCAACCGTCAAGGGAGACCCTGCGCCTGCAGCCCAGCCCCGCCATCCAGCTGTCTTGGCTGGGGCTGAGTGAGACCAGCCTGGGCTTCAGCAGCGGGCAGTGGGGTCGGGGGTGGAGGGAAGGAATCACCCCAGCGCTGAACAGAATGCCCTGCCCGGGGGGCGGGGAAGAGTCCCCCTCTGGGGCCTGGACCGGGTAGCCTTGCATATAACCCCTCTCCGTGCCCTGCAGCGGTGGGCTGGGGCCGGCAGGGGAAGGAGGAGGCGGGGGAAGACTTCCACCCAGCACTGAACAGAACCCTCCCCCTGGCCACAAGTGGGGTAAGGTTACCATATTTCCAGGCCCAAAAAAGATTATATCTGTCATGGTGGGTGGCAGGAGTGGGAGTATGACCATGGGGTGGCAGCGACATCCCAGTACCCTGCCTCTGCCCATTCTGTTGCCCTGCACTGCCAAGCCAAAGCTCCCCCTAGACCTGCTGCTGCCCCTCACGCCCAACCCACTGACCCTAGCCCTACCACTGCCCCTCACTCCCAAACCACAGTACCCTGCTCCCCTGGGCCATGAAGGTGCCTCTTGCTCCTGACCCACAGCCCCTGCTTGCCCAGCCCTGCTGGTGCCCCTCACTCCCGATCTGCAGCCCTGCTGGAGGGGCCCCAGCTGTCCTCGTCCTGACCAGGCTGGAGCACAGTGGCTCTGATTCACGCAAGCAGTGGTGGAGTGTGCCTGGTTACACCCTGGGCTGGAGGGAAGAGGAGGGGAAGCTTGTGGCACCCCCTGCCCTGGGATGGGGCTGCTGCATGGCGCCAGGCAGCTTGGCCACAGCCCCCCTCTCCCCTCCTCCTCCCCCACAGCGTTTCCTGGCCGCTCAGCCCGTGAGCATGCATTAGCCCCTGTGCTACAAACCAGCCACAGAGCTCCCCACTGCCCCCCTGCCCCTTTCCCCCACTGGAGGGGCAGGCAGCTCCTCAGCCACCACTCCCCCTGCCCTGACCAAATGTCCAGGATTTTGCTTTGCTCCAGGGGTAGGAGCAGGGTAGGGCGATTGGAGGCAGGAGGGAGAACCACATGGGCCTGCGCGTGCCTCTGCTGCTGCAGACTGGTACATCTCTGCTTTCTGTTGTCTCCAGTCGCCTTCCCCTACTCCCACCAGCGGAGCAAAGCAAAATCCCGGACTTTCGGGCAGACTTAAAAAACATGCCCAGGCAGGTCTGTAGGTTGGGGTCATGTGCAATTCGTGGTTCATCTGTGCTGTGCAGAAGCGTCCCACTCCTCCAATCAGCCTCAGTCACCAACCTCCTGGGTCTCACCATACCTCACCAGCCTGGGCTGTCCCTTTACTGCCTCCTCCTGGTGCCCCAAGGATTCTGGGATTTGTAGTCTGGAGTCAGTCAGCAGGACTTCACAGGGTTGCTCCCCTTCTGTCACACACACATCACATTTTCAGTGCACACAATGCATTACATTACACAACGCATACATTACACCAGCCCCTGCTCCATCCCAGAGCCAGCCGCAGCTACTACCTACTCAGCCCTGTGCACTTCCACAGAGCCAGATGCACCTCCTGGCCCGATCATACTCAACCCAATGCTCCCCCCAGCGCCAACCACTTCCCAGGGCTGGGCAAGGGGCCCATACAGGGCTTACAGCCCGACAGAACAATGTCCAGTATAGGATCATGGTGCAAACTGGGTAACACCCAGAGGCTGGCACCAGAAACCTCCCTGCCTGGACACCTGGGTTCTCTCCCCACCCTGGCAGGGATTGTCTACAGGTCTACCCTGGCCCCTTGGACAGTACAGAGCTGACCCACCCGAACCTCTGGCAGTGCTCCTGGCTTGGTGGGTGAAAGCAGTGGGGCTGGGAGCCCTGGACAACTGGGTTCTCTGGAGGAGGACTGGGGGCTTGTGGAGAGGGCAGCAGAGACAAGGAGCCCAGACACCTGTGTTTTCCAGGATGTGCTGTTTGGTGTCCTAGAACAAGGGGTGGGGCTGGAGCCGGGATATCTGAGTTCCCTTCCCCGAGCTCTGAGCCACCTTGTGCCTTCAGGCCCTTCCCCACCTCCTGCACCCCTCCCAGTGTCCATCTAGGAGGCAGGCGGGACTGGCCCGGCACAGACCACTGAGGACAGGACATGGGACCCATGACACCCGCCCTACACATGGTCACACTCCTAGGGCTGCTGGTCACTGGTGAGTGGGTCCTGCTCCCCCCCCAGAGCTAGCTGCAGCCCTGTCCCTATCATACCCCAGCCGACACCCCCAGAGTCAGCCGCAGCTCCTATCCTCATTATACCCAGCCTGATGCCCCCCGAGCCAGCCACATCGCAGGGCCAGGCAAGAGGCCAATATATGGTTTACAGCCTAGGCACAGTGCCCAGTACAAGTTCATGGTCTGAACTGGGGAATGCCCAGAGGCTGGCACCAGCTTATTCCCTGCCTGGACACCTGGGTTCTCTTCCCATCCTGGTAGGGACCGTCCTCACATCTGCCCTGGCCTCTGGGGTCAGTGCAGAGCTCCCCCTGGCCCTGCTGGCTGTGCCCCGGGGCTGGTGGCTGATGGTAGAAGGGCTGGGAGCCTGGACACTTGGGTTCTCTGGCGAGGGATTGGGTGCTTTTGGGTGACAGCAGCAGGGACCAGGAGCCTGGATGGCTGGGTTCTCTGGGGAGCAGGATCTGGTGCCTTAGAACAAGGGGTGTGAAACCCTGTTGCTGTTGACACATGCTGAGCAAAAAGGGCTGGGTTCAGTTTTGGGGGTATTAAATATATTTTACCTTGGCTCGAGCCCCCACCCAGTCTAGTTGGGAAACACTAAATGAATCACTAGGGTGTCCCATAAAACCAACAACCCTTCCCTCACGAGCAGTATGAACACAAACCCTGGATTTATTACCGAGGCAGACACCAGACCACAACACACGGTCAAGCAAAAACAAACACACTGTCCTAGTTCAAAGCACTCCCATATCACCCCAGGCTCAGAGGTCCAAGAGTTGGGAAGTCTCAACCAAAAAGTCAGTCCCTGGGAATTTGGGTGCATCATCTCTCTCACTGTTGCTGTGCGCTGGGTCCCTGTGCGCTGCAAAGGGCCCTTCGGTGAGTTGATGTAGCTCCGCCGAGCTGCTGGGGGGCGCTGATTTCTGTGCTGCCCTGGATTCCTATTGATGTCTGTGCTGAGCTGCTGGGGAGCACCCATCTCTGGTCTTGCCTGAGTGGCTGCAGAGGGGAGCTACTAGCTGCTACCCTGGACTCCCAGTCCAAACCCCCCATGGCTACTGGATTTGAACCCCTGGCTCTCTATACCACCCCACCTCAGGCTCCAGCCAGTATCCCAGGGTTCCCCCTTCCCCTCCATAGGGACCCAAGGGGAAAAACAGAGAGCGAGCCTCCCAGCTCAGGAGGCCTGACCCTTAAGAAAGATTTTTTTTTTTTTGCAATTTCTTAGTCGGTGTAATAAATCTCAACTGGATCATCCCTGAACCAAGAGTTGTAGAGTTTTGCATTTCTTTTTATCTCAGACCAACTCCCAATGTGGCTACCAAATATATCCCTGAAACATGAGAGATGCCGGATTTCAGCTGATTTTGCAATGATAAACTGTATTGCTAAACACAAAAGAAAGATTTCGACACCTTCCTGCCATCTAACACCACCAGGGAAGAAATCCTGCCTTATCTACACATCAGAGAGCAGCTACCACAAAGGAATTCAAATCTCATGGATCCAGAGGAACAGACATCCATCTTCAGCTTCTTCCATGCAAAATGAAGTTTATTTTCTACCTAAGGGGACTTTTACCCTCTTTAATTTTCCCTTGGCCTGAAGAAAGGCACGTGTGCCCAAAAGCTTGCAAAGAAAGGTAATTTTTTAGTGATTTCTTAGTTGGTCTAATAAAAGGTATCATTTCTGAACCAAGAGTTTTAGAGTTTTCAAATATTTCTGAACCTTAAATCACTTTTCTGACCTCACCCCAGGGCCCCAGTCAAGAAGTGGCAACACTGGGACATGGCTAAGGCAGACCAGTGCATTCAAAGGGGTCAGGGTTGTAGGTTGTAGCCGTGTTGGTCTAAGGACATAGGCAGACAAGGTTCACTCCTAGTAGAGGTGATATCTATCTTTTTAGACCAACTAGAGGTTTGCAAAAAAAGTCTTAATTTGCAAGCTTTTGGGCACAAGCACCCTTCTTCAGGCATGGGAGAAAAGATTGTAAAAGTTCTCCTGGGCAGACATGAAAGTTCATAATTCAGAGAAGAGTTGAAGGTGGTGAAATCTGTTTGCAACAGTTTGTGTTATGCAGCTTGGACTCAAAGAAAAGACGGAAGAGTCTGTTTACTTGGCAGCAGGATGTACCGTGTTTCCTTCTGGTTCTGATGTTTCTTATTTCACAGAAGAGTAAAAAGACAGGATGTTCGTCTGGGTAGGAGTTTCTTGTATGTGGAGGCGTCTCTGGGCTCTGTGATAATGCAAATGACCTGAAACAAAGGCAAGAGCGGGGACAAAGGGGTCAGGCAAGTCACTGAACTGGTTTTCCCTGGTTCTGTTGAGGAATGGAAGGCAGTGGTCTGGGTGGGGGGGAAGTGGGCCTCTCCTGTCCTGGAGGAGGCACAATATACACCCATCACACAGCAAACATGATCAGGCTTTCCAGCCAAACAGGACACACTGTGACATGAAACACACTTTATAGCACAAAATGACTTGTACTTTTTGGGTGTGCAACAGGTGGGGTTGGAGCCCACATGCCGGGGTTTCCTATGGGGTGAGCTCTGAGTCCCTGCGTGACTTCAGACCCTCCCCCATTGCTCCTACAAGAGGCCAGCAGGACCCAGCCCAGCCCAGCGAGCCAGGATGCCCGTCCTACACAGGGCCTGGGGCTGCTGGTCCCGGTGAGTGGGCCCCGCTCCCCCCACAGCCAGCCCCACGTCCTGTCCCTGTTACACCCAGCGCCAGCTGCGTCCGGGCCCGGACGGGGTCTACAGCCCTTCAGCGCGATGCCCAGGACAGGGTCATGGTGCAAACTGGGACCACGCAGGGGCTGCACAGCTTCCTCCCTGCCCGAGGGGACACCTGGGTTGTCTCCCCGCCCTGCCTGGGAGGCAAACGAGGCGGCGCCGGGCCCCGCTCCTCCCCCGCAGCGGAGCCACGACCGGCCTC